TGCACTATCATTTGACCTGATCCCTCTGACATGTAAATATCATTTAACTCGCTTCCTCCTGACATGCAACTATCATTTGACCTGATCCCTCTGACACGTAAATATCATTTAACTCACCTCCTTCTGACATGTAACTATCATTTAACTCGCCTCCTCCTGACATGTAACTATCATTTGACCTGATCCCTCTGACATGTAACTATCATTTAACTCGCCTCCTCCTGACATGCAACTATCATTTGACCTGATCCCTCTGACATGTAAATATCATTTAACTCACCTCCTCTGACATATAACTATCATTTAACTCACCTCCTCCTGACATGCAACTATCATTTGACCTGATCCCTCTGACATGTAAATATCATTTAACTCACCTCCTCTGACATATAACTATCATTTAACTCACCTTCTCCTGACATGCAACTATCATTTAAATCACCTCCTTCTGACATGTAAACTATAAGTTATAACTCACCTCCTCCTGACATGTAACTATCATTTAACTCACCTCCTCCTGACATGTAACAATCATTTAACTCACCTCCTCCTGACATGTAACTATAAGTTATAACTCACCTCCTCCTGACATGTAACTATCATTTAACTCACCTCCTTCTGACATGTAACTATCATTTAACTCACCTCCTCCTGACATGTAACTATCATTTAACTCACCTCCTCCTGACATGCAATTATCATTTGACCTGATCACTCTGACATGTAAATATCATTTAACTCGCCTCCTCCTGACATGCAACTATCATTTGACCTGATCCCTCTCACATGCAACTATCATTTGACCTGATCCCTCTGACATGCAACTATCATTTAACTCACCTCCTTCTGACATGCAACTATCATTTGACCTGATCCCTCTGACATGTAAATATCATTTAACTCACCACCTCCTGACATGTAACTATCATTTAACTCACCTCCTGCTGACATGTAACTATCATTTAACTCACCTCCTCCTGACATGTAACTATAAGTTATAACTCACCTCCTTCTGACATGTAACTATCTAACTCACCTCCTCCTGACATGTAACTATCATTTAACTCACCTCCTGCTGACACGTAACTATCATTTAACTCACCTCCTCCTGACATGTAACTATCATTTAACTCACCTCCTGCTGACATGTAACTATCATTTAACTCACCTCCTCTTGACATGTAACTATCATTTAACTCATCTCCTCCTGACATGTAACTATCATTTAACTCACCTCCTCTGACATATAACTATCATTTAACTCACCTCCTCTGACATATAACTATCATTTAACTCACCTCCTCCTGACATGCAACTATCATTTGACCTGATCCCTCTGACATGTAAATATCATTTAACTCACCTCCTCCTGACATGTAACTATCATTTAACTCACCTTCTCCTGATATGTAACTATCATTTAACTCACCTCCTCTAGACATGTAACTATCATTTAACTCACCTCCTCCTGACATGCAACTATCATTTGACCTGATCCCTCTGACATGTAAATATCATTTAACTCGCCTCCTCCTGACATGCAACTATCATTTGACCTGATCCCTCTGACATGTAAATATCATTTTACTTGCCTCCTCCTGACATGTAACTATCATTTAAATCACCTCCTCCTGACATGTAACTATAAGTTATAACTCACCTCCTGCTGACATGTAACTATCATTTAACTCACCTCCTGCTGACATGTAACTATCATTTAACTCATCTCCTCCTGACATGTAACTATCATTTAACTCACCTCCTCCTGACATGTAACTATCATTTAACTCACCTCCTCCTGACATGTAACTATCATTTAACTCACCTTCTCCTGATATGTAACTATCATTTAACTCACCTCCTCTAGACATGTAACTATCATTTAACTCACCTCCTCCTGACATGCAACTATCATTTGACCTGATCCCACTGACATGTAAATATCATTTAACTCGCCTCCTCCTGACATGCAACTATCATTTGACCTGATCCCTCTGACATGTAAATATCATTCAACTCACCTTCTCCTGACATGCAACTATCATTTAAATCACCTCCTTCTGACATGTAACTATAAGTTATAACTCACCTCCTCCTGACATGTAACTATCATTTAACTCATCTCCTCCTGATATGTAACTATCATTTAACTCACCTCCTCCCTGACATGTAACTATCATTTAAC